CATTTAGGAGAAGGCGATGCAGTCCCCGAGCTGTGCTCTTCAAACCCTAATTCTGCTGCTGGGATCCAGCTGCCTGGGGAGGACCTGGCTCAGCCGTGATGCTCCAGCTGCAAAACCCATCACCAAATCCTCTACGGAGCATCTCCTGGTAACTCCAATCCCCGTCTTCCTCATTACATCTAGGCTTGCATGAGCTTACTTAGGAAATCAGGGCTTGTGGGACCTGCCCGAGCAGATGGCCGGGCTGTGATTTGAACATGGCTTTTGGATTTTGGCTTCACTAGCGATTTCCCAAGGAGCTTGGCGCTCTCTGAGCCTGCTCCTGGATGAGCCGCCCTCCTGCAGGGCAGCGGGAGCTTTCCAGCACGGGCGGAGGAGGGAGCCTGGGTGAGGAGGATGGCCAGGAGCCGTGGGGAAACAAAGATCATCTTTCCCCTCGAAGAGCAATGCAAACCCCTTGGCCTCAGCTCCTCTGCAAACTTCGCAGCGTTTTTTCTGATCAGCGGATTGAAAAAGAAAAATAGACTTGAACTCGGCCCAGTGGGTCTTCTGGGCTGCTCATGGGTTGGGTCCTGGCCAGGGCAGACTCATCCCAGCCGCTCTTCGCCTCTCCCAGCCCAGCCCCTGGTGGGACTGGCTTTGCTGGGATGTTCTGGAGAGGGGCCACCACCTCCACATCCAGCCAGGGCTGAGGGAAGGTGGTTCCTGCAGCCTGTAGTGGGGACCAGAGCATCCTTTTCGTCGCTGCTGGAGAAAGGAGGTGGCGGCATTTGGATGAGGGAGGAAGATGCTGGAGCTTGGGAGGATGCTGGAGCTTGGGAGGATGCTGGAGCTTGGGAGGATGCTGGAGCCCGGGATGACGCCGGAGTGTGGGAAGGTGCTGGAGCCTGGGACGATGCTGGAGCCCGGGATGACGCTGGAGCTTGGGAGGATGCTGGAGTTCAGGATGATGCTGGAACTTGGGAAGGTGCTGGAGCCCAGGAAGATCCTGATCCCTGCTCATTCCTGGTGCACATCTTGGCTGGCAGCTTTCGGGGACCCAACTGCCTGCCAGTAGGCTCAAGGCAAAATTATCAGTGTTTAATTAATGCAATAACCTTTCCTGGCCTTAGAATTGGGTTATTTGACTCCTGCTTGGCACGAGTGGTGCTCGCACCCTCCTGCTCCCTCCTCTTACTCATTGCTATTTATTTCTCCAGGGGCCGAGCTGGTTTCAGCCCATCCCAGCTGAAACCAGCATCAGTCGCCTGCTCCCCACATGCTCTCAGGGGAAACTGAGGCATGAGGAAGGGGAGAGCTTGCAATGTACCACCTCACAGGGGTCAGACACAGATCCCATTAGCAGTGGTTTGTTTTCCAGCCTTTGGCAGCCTGGGAGATGGGACGGTGCGTGCGTGGGGAGCTGCGAACGCTGGGATAACCCTGCACACACACGTGTCCCTTTAAGACAGCAGCTGGGAAAGAGCGTTTTGCCAGTAAAGGCCCTTAAGTCAAGGCAGGGAGTAATTGCTGGGGAATTCAAAACTGGGAAGGAGCTGGCAGGGACTTGGGGGGGAGGAGGAGGAGGAGAAGGAGGAGGAAGAGGAGATGGGCTGTGGGGAGAGGGTGTTAGGGAGATCAGAGACGGGGAGAAAGAGGCTTGAAAAAAGGGAGGGCGAGGCAGGGGAAAGAAGGGAAATGGCAAGAAAAATGTACAGACCATGTTTGGCCAAGGAGTCATGTTTGGATAAGATCATGTTCTAAAAATACAGCCCGTTCCCACCATCGCCGAAGGAGGGGAGCCCTCTGCCCCGGCTTCCTCCTCCCTGCATCACACACAGCCCCTCGCTGGGAGTGGGGACCGTGGCCGTGCCGTGGCCGTG